CCTTTGAATTGAGTTTTGTCCTCAGTTGATAGCAAGAGAGGATGGATTTTAAAGGCTTAAGCCTAAGTAGTTTATTTGTCTTCATAATTATTTTCAGGAACCTGGCGGAAGTAGATAAAATGAGCTTAATTCAACTTCCACAAAGGGAGATAGATAAAAAAAGACTGGTTATTAGCACAAGTTCCCGATACAAGCTTAACCTTTCTTTAAGACTGCGCCCGGCACCTTTTAAACAACGGAATTCAGAGATACTGCAGATGCTTCTGGCAAAAACAAAGATGATTACGTTGCACCTATCTACCGCGTGCCTATTAGGTAGAGGTTTTGCATTGAGCACGTGGTTCCGGGCAAAAAGAAAAAATATGAAGATACTCGCTCGTAAGCGGACACCTTCGGGACGCGAAAAAGGTGTTCGCACCTGGGTCTGGCCGCTTACGGGAATGTAAAAATACAGAGTTTTAAAAACGACGTTTTGTGAAGGTGGCCGTAGGTAAAACTTTCCTCTTACGAGAGTGTCCGTTAGGAGAGCTTCCACTGTATCATTACTGAATGAAAACCTGCTTGAAAGACGTCGTAGATTAAGTCTAAAGACATGAGTGTTCACAACGTGGCAACGTGGCAACGCATGCTATCCCTTTTGTATTTGTGATTTTATAGCAGTTGTTTCAGTCTTATATATTAAATTTATCTTGGGAATACGAGTATAATATGCAGCGTTACAAAGAGTGTGAACTACATAGTCTTTTCTTCAGCATGTAGAACAAGTATCGTACTCTTGAAATAGTCTTAACACGCAGTCTAACTTACCACTGTTACCAAAGTGAAGCCAATAGCTTGTAATTGGGTAACGTATCAACGTATCAGTTATGGTTTGTTATCTTCAAAATGAAAGGCGTTCCATTGAACCTTACGTCGATGGCAGAAACGTGCCATTACATACTGAAAACCTCCCGACGGACTTACCTCAGAAGTATGTTAACTTGATTCCCGTTATTAGTGGTTCTCCAGTCGTGTTTGCTGTCGGGCCGAAGGTAGACCGACCTGGAAAACAAAAGACTTTTAGCCGGAATCAACTGAGCTGAAGACGATCAATTCAATCTGTAGAATTAGATTTTTACATTGCTATAACCTTAAACTTAAACAGCTAAAAAAATTGACAAGAAAATGCCAAATTGTATCGCTGGCAAACGAAAGCGAATGCCTCCTTTCGACGATTCCTTCTTCATAGGCCCTCGAACCCTCGGGATGTGAACGCAACAAAAAATAAAAAAAAAAACGTTTAAAAAGTTAAACTGGGAGATGCAAAAAAAGCTGACTGACTTGAACAGGAGATGTCATGCCTCGAAACGCCATCCTTTAAATCCTCAAATTCCTTTTGCAGCGGTATAGTAAGTTACCAGTCAAGAGAAATTGTTCCGAAATCAAAGTTTCGCGAACATTACAGTTGCGGACTTCGACAATAACCGAGTGTGTTTAGTCAACAATTCTTGCAAGGACCACTTGGACAAAGAGCGGTGAGGGAAAGCCGGATCTTGTCGTAGATCAGGGTCAGCAATATAAAATAACACTTGAAATTGAAGGACCTTTTCCAGCCCCTGATGGAGACTAGTTTCGTCTAGTCGAAATATTGGGCAAATTTAAATTTGTAAACCTTAGCTCTCCGATCAGCCTTGCCTTCAATCAGTTCAACTGTGTTTAGTCACCACGTTGCAGTGCGTTACAAATAAGCCATGTAATCTACACGAGTCTTTCTGGTTGATATATACATTAGAATTAGTGAATTCAGGTCAAGAAACATTTTGAATGCCACAAATTATTTGGGATAAATATTTCTCTTCTCTTTTTTGGATCTTGAAGGAACGTTTGATTTTGACTGCTCTTGTTAGCGTTGAATACCGTAGCCGCTTGATTGATGTCTTCTGAAAACTGTAACGACCATCTGCGTTTTACGAATAAACAGCTTTTCTGATTTTTAGGCCGAAAGGAAATCAAAAAGTTAAATTGACTCACCCAGATGCTGGTGCCAACGAGCTGGACTGATGGTTTACCGAAATGTTGATTTTCTTTTAAAACACGCGTTGATTGTAGTGAGTATTTCGCGCCCGCATCATCATTGGAGGCTGGCACCTGTTCCATACAGCCTTTGGCATCTTGCCACAGTATGCAAGTGCATAGCCAGCAAACGTGAACTTGGTTTGGTGACTTTCGGCCTTGTTTTGTGTGGTAACCGTTCGCCATCTTTATATCGAGCAGACTACATCATGGTAGCTTTGCTAAATATTGTGCTTTTGGAACGGTGACTTAACTCAACCACTTAATGCACGTTCGATTCCCTGTAAGTTCCCACCTCGCTAAGGCCGTGGCACTCCAAGATGGCGGCGGTAGCGTCAAGCCTGAAAGATCCTTGCAAGATGTAGTCTCTGTGGTTGTTGTGATCAAGATCATTCTTTGCTGTGGAATTTATTCAGACCGGAATATATCCAGAATCTACTGATAAAATTCACTAAATCAAGAAGGAAAAACTCTGATACTTACAGTTACTCTTGGTTGTTCCACTATTCTCCACAATTCTGAAAATGTCTCTTTCAACATGAAAACTTATTTAGCATGTTTACCGCTATTCAGTCGACAGTCAAGTACTTTACACCAAAGGTTTTTAAAATGCTATCAGTGAACATTGTTGACACGGTTAGTGAATTTCAATTTTTGAAAAAATCCCCGTCTATATGCTGTCCAAATGACATCATCAACTAATCCAGAAGAATGCAAGGTCAGTTTGATTCCCACTATCGTTTCGCTCGTGTAAAATTACCCCAGTCAGATTGCTACGTTAATTGTGAAGCGAAATTTCCAATTTGTTTTGTAACCAGGGAGCTAAAGTTTATGCGTAGATTGGAAATTTCTGTTTTGTTAATATTGACCCTGAGAAGAACGAGTCCTAGCAAGTTTATGTGCTTGATTAACCGCGTGTCAATCCAAATAATAATAATAATGATAAAAAATACATAGCTGCTTTCTCTTTTGTCAATCACGACTAACTGTGTACACTTAATGGCTGCGAAGTTTTGAATAAATGGATTCCCAAGGCAGAAGAGTTCAAAAGAATGCCCAAACGAGAATTGGTGGTGAAATTTGCTCATCTGACGTAATCATGCATAAGGGCCATTTGACATTGCGTCAGTGTCCAGAAAAAAATATCCAAAGCAAATAGATTTCATTCTTAGTCTTTGTTTGTCCTCTACTACACATTGACTACAAAGGTATTTCTGTTTAGGGCGACTGGATTCAATGGCCCCTTTATTTTAAGGCCGGAAATGGAAATCACGAAGTTCTATCTACGTTCTCGAGCTCCCATTTTCGAGTTATATGCCATTTCCGGTCACGAGTTGCCCTCGGCGAAGCCTCTCTCTCAAAGCGAGAACAAAAGCGGAAGTCTTTGATTTAAGAGTCATGTCCCATTTACATGCCAATTAAACCATTCATTTTAATACATTAAAATTCTGCATTAATTTAGCCTCATTTTTGGAACTCTGAACGTGAAAGAAAGTACAATGAAAAAATTCCAAAAATGTGACATCTGTACAAATGTGCTGTAAATCCAGACGTAGTAAATCGATAGAAATTTATATCGGAAATCAATCAATATCAATCGATTTAATCCGCCGATTGATATCGGAAATCGATAGAAATCGAAGTCAGAAACAAAATAATTTATCGGTTATGATCGATTTTTGTTATAGCAATCTATAACAAGCGAAGCAATAATCCTGAAGTAAATGTTCTGAACATGACGATATTTGACTTCAGCAACTACACGCACAGTTCTCAGCTAGTTCAAATTTTGGTTTCTTTCGTCTCCTGGTTTGTTTTTTTTCTTTACATGTCCATTCAATCCTGCAATCTCGCTGACACTGAAAACAGTCGGTTGGAAACAAGGCTGGAGTTGACCTTGTTTTGATACAACCCTTCTTGCTTTACTATGCAAATCATGTTGTTATGCTAACTAGTATTTTTTAAGCAAAATTTTCATTTATTTGAAAAAGGAAAAAGGTTTGTATAAAAACAAGATCAACCTCAGCCTCACGTTCACTCAAAGGCTAGAACACAAAGCCCACAACTGTAAAATGGCCTACTCGGTATATACACGAACATTGAAGTCTTCCACTTCGCTGACTTTTGTTGGCATAAGAGGTCGTACTTGTTATGCTCCATGTTTATGGAGTTGCTACAGCGACAGATAGTTTAGACTATTAATCGCAGTGTATACACGTCTATCTTGTCCAAAACAGGGAAAATTTGAACATTGTAAATATAACAGAGAGGCACTTGGGGAACAAAAGCACGGCCACAAAATATCAAACATTTTGTAATTTACTGTCATGTAGAGCATCTACATTTCCATTTTGAGGTTCTTTTTAACTAAATAAGGTACTTCCCAATTGTCCGTTGACGGTTTCAGACGTATCCGTTGTCCGAGAGAGATGCCCGTCGTTCCAGTAAAATGACTGAAAAACGGCAGAGACCAACACCGAGTGTCCGTCTTATAGAGGTGTAATTGGGATCAGGCCAGAGGCAATAACAGAAAAAAAATCAACTGAAAATTTACTTAAATTAAAGCTTCTTTCATGTATGAATTTAATGCCACATAGCCAAATGTGTGTGTGCATGTGTGTTGTTGTGGTTTTCTTTTTTCTGACACTTTGCTTATAAGAAGAATAGTTGTCTTGGGCCGAAGGGTCACCTGTCTACCCGAGCTACCCTGGGCGAGCCAAATTTTCATACATTCTCTTAAAAAACGTGGCGAAACGTTTACATGAGAATCAAAAAGTTGGCTTGGCTAGGGTGACCCCGCACCAGGCTGGGTCACCCTTTTGTGATGGAAGGCAGGGTCATCCTCCTACCAGGGCCAACTTTTCTACACTTTTCTTTTTCTTCTTTTTTTCTTACTTGAGTTTTGTCTGTCTGTTTGTCCCTTTGTAACCGGACCTGTTTGCTTTCCTTTAATCCATTACTTGGTACGGTCGATATCCTTTCTCTGTTAACACCTCTCAGTGTACAAAGAAAAAGAGCTTTGAGGGATACTTAAGCTGAATTTTATTTTCAAAGAATGAATTCTTTACTGTTACAGATGGTTTGAATTACATACGTATACCAAGGCTACAACAGGTTCAATATATTATATCCGGTCCTACATTTACATTTTCCTTTTTTATATGTACATTTTTTAAACTAAAAAGGTTATATGTCTTTACTTTTATGAGCTGCGCTGGCCGACTAAGTGTTCTTGTTCATCTAGCCACGTCAGTATCAAAGTGATATAAATATTACCAGTCATGAGCTGTTTTAAGCTGGATTTTCAGTCGGCTGTTTCCTTGAGGACCTGACAGCAATGTTTTGTTCATTTGGCACCTGGTTTCCCTGGTTTGAGAAAAAACAAAAGCAACAAAAACGTTGCTCGTTAACGTGACGTAACGTGGAATAAAACGCAAATTTATCAGCCAAAAAAGGATCGGAAATAGACCATTTGCAATAAACAGCTTTTCTGATTTTTAGGCCGAAAGGAAATCAAAAAGTTAAATTGACTCACCCAGATGCTGGTGCCAACGAGCTGGACTGATGGTTTACCGAAATGTTGATTTTCTTTTAAAACACGCGTTGATTGTAGTGAGTATTTCGCGCCCGCATCATCATTGGAGGCTGGCACCTGTTCCATACAGCCTTTGGCATCTTGCCACAGTATGCAAGTGCATAGCCAGCAAACGTGAACTTGGTTTGGTGACTTTCGGCCTTGTTTTGTGTGGTAACCGTTCGCCATCTTTATATCGAGCAGACTACATCATGGTAGCTTTGCTAAATATTGTGCTTTTGGAACGGTGACTTAACTCAACCACTTAATGCACGTTCGATTCCCTGTAAGTTCCCACCTCGCTAAGGCCGTGGCACTCCAAGATGGCGGCGGTAGCGTCAAGCCTGAAAGATCCTTGCAAGATGTAGTCTCTGTGGTTGTTGTGATCAAGATCATTCTTTGCTGTGGAATTTATTCAGACCGGAATATATCCAGAATCTACTGATAAAATTCACTAAATCAAGAAGGAAAAACTCTGATACTTACAGTTACTCTTGGTTGTTCCACTATTCTCCACAATTCTGAAAATGTCTCTTTCAACATGAAAACTTATTTAGCATGTTTACCGCTATTCAGTCGACAGTCAAGTACTTTACACCAAAGGTTTTTAAAATGCTATCAGTGAACATTGTTGACACGGTTAGTGAATTTCAATTTTTGAAAAAATCCCCGTCTATATGCTGTCCAAATGACATCATCAACTAATCCAGAAGAATGCAAGGTCAGTTTGATTCCCACTATCGTTTCGCTCGTGTAAAATTACCCCAGTCAGATTGCTACGTTAATTGTGAAGCGAAATTTCCAATTTGTTTTGTAACCAGGGAGCTAAAGTTTATGCGTAGATTGGAAATTTCTGTTTTGTTAATATTGACCCTGAGAAGAACGAGTCCTAGCAAGTTTATGTGCTTGATTAACCGCGTGTCAATCCAAATAATAATAATAATGATAAAAAATACATAGCTGCTTTCTCTTTTGTCAATCACGACTAACTGTGTACACTTAATGGCTGCGAAGTTTTGAATAAATGGATTCCCAAGGCAGAAGAGTTCAAAAGAATGCCCAAACGAGAATTGGTGGTGAAATTTGCTCATCTGACGTAATCATGCATAAGGGCCATTTGACATTGCGTCAGTGTCCAGAAAAAAATATCCAAAGCAAATAGATTTCATTCTTAGTCTTTGTTTGTCCTCTACTACACATTGACTACAAAGGTATTTCTGTTTAGGGCGACTGGATTCAATGGCCCCTTTATTTTAAGGCCGGAAATGGAAATCACGAAGTTCTATCTACGTTCTCGAGCTCCCATTTTCGAGTTATATGCCATTTCCGGTCACGAGTTGCCCTCGGCGAAGCCTCTCTCTCAAAGCGAGAACAAAAGCGGAAGTCTTTGATTTAAGAGTCATGTCCCATTTACATGCCAATTAAACCATTCATTTTAATACATTAAAATTCTGCATTAATTTAGCCTCATTTTTGGAACTCTGAACGTGAAAGAAAGTACAATGAAAAAATTCCAAAAATGTGACATCTGTACAAATGTGCTGTAAATCCAGACGTAGTAAATCGATAGAAATTTATATCGGAAATCAATCAATATCAATCGATTTAATCCGCCGATTGATATCGGAAATCGATAGAAATCGAAGTCAGAAACAAAATAATTTATCGGTTATGATCGATTTTTGTTATAGCAATCTATAACAAGCGAAGCAATAATCCTGAAGTAAATGTTCTGAACATGACGATATTTGACTTCAGCAACTACACGCACAGTTCTCAGCTAGTTCAAATTTTGGTTTCTTTCGTCTCCTGGTTTGTTTTTTTTCTTTACATGTCCATTCAATCCTGCAATCTCGCTGACACTGAAAACAGTCGGTTGGAAACAAGGCTGGAGTTGACCTTGTTTTGATACAACCCTTCTTGCTTTACTATGCAAATCATGTTGTTATGCTAACTAGTATTTTTTAAGCAAAATTTTCATTTATTTGAAAAAGGAAAAAGGTTTGTATAAAAACAAGATCAACCTCAGCCTCACGTTCACTCAAAGGCTAGAACACAAAGCCCACAACTGTAAAATGGCCTACTCGGTATATACACGAACATTGAAGTCTTCCACTTCGCTGACTTTTGTTGGCATAAGAGGTCGTACTTGTTATGCTCCATGTTTATGGAGTTGCTACAGCGACAGATAGTTTAGACTATTAATCGCAGTGTATACACGTCTATCTTGTCCAAAACAGGGAAAATTTGAACATTGTAAATATAACAGAGAGGCACTTGGGGAACAAAAGCACGGCCACAAAATATCAAACATTTTGTAATTTACTGTCATGTAGAGCATCTACATTTCCATTTTGAGGTTCTTTTTAACTAAATAAGGTACTTCCCAATTGTCCGTTGACGGTTTCAGACGTATCCGTTGTCCGAGAGAGATGCCCGTCGTTCCAGTAAAATGACTGAAAAACGGCAGAGACCAACACCGAGTGTCCGTCTTATAGAGGTGTAATTGGGATCAGGCCAGAGGCAATAACAGAAAAAAAATCAACTGAAAATTTACTTAAATTAAAGCTTCTTTCATGTATGAATTTAATGCCACATAGCCAAATGTGTGTGTGCATGTGTGTTGTTGTGGTTTTCTTTTTTCTGACACTTTGCTTATAAGAAGAATAGTTGTCTTGGGCCGAAGGGTCACCTGTCTACCCGAGCTACCCTGGGCGAGCCAAATTTTCATACATTCTCTTAAAAAACGTGGCGAAACGTTTACATGAGAATCAAAAAGTTGGCTTGGCTAGGGTGACCCCGCACCAGGCTGGGTCACCCTTTTGTGATGGAAGGCAGGGTCATCCTCCTACCAGGGCCAACTTTTCTACACTTTTCTTTTTCTTCTTTTTTTCTTACTTGAGTTTTGTCTGTCTGTTTGTCCCTTTGTAACCGGACCTGTTTGCTTTCCTTTAATCCATTACTTGGTACGGTCGATATCCTTTCTCTGTTAACACCTCTCAGTGTACAAAGAAAAAGAGCTTTGAGGGATACTTAAGCTGAATTTTATTTTCAAAGAATGAATTCTTTACTGTTACAGATGGTTTGAATTACATACGTATACCAAGGCTACAACAGGTTCAATATATTATATCCGGTCCTACATTTACATTTTCCTTTTTTATATGTACATTTTTTAAACTAAAAAGGTTATATGTCTTTACTTTTATGAGCTGCGCTGGCCGACTAAGTGTTCTTGTTCATCTAGCCACGTCAGTATCAAAGTGATATAAATATTACCAGTCATGAGCTGTTTTAAGCTGGATTTTCAGTCGGCTGTTTCCTTGAGGACCTGACAGCAATGTTTTGTTCATTTGGCACCTGGTTTCCCTGGTTTGAGAAAAAACAAAAGCAACAAAAACGTTGCTCGTTAACGTGACGTAACGTGGAATAAAACGCAAATTTATCAGCCAAAAAAGGATCGGAAATAGACCATTTGCACGATAATGTCAGTTTACTACTGCTACTACCAGAATCCTTCGGGGTTTTGCTTTCTTGTGCCAGTTAGAGCGTTTGTCATTTAAACCTCTCTGGGATTACCAAATATAAAATATGAAAGGAAAAACAAAATGAATTCTAGTCTAAGTAGTAAAAAGACGTCATCATGCAAATATAATTGCCTACTTAAAGAAGGTTACATTAATTATTTAAAGTAGGTATGTACATTATTAATTAATAAGGTCTTTCAGTTATGGATTCAGCCGAACAAAAAATCTTGTTTAGGTTAAAATTTTGGCCATTGACTATTTTCCAATTGCCCATAATACACTCTGTTTGCCCCCCAAATTTTGCATAACTTATTGTCTTAAAATGCTCTTGGGAAAATGCAATACTCCCAGGAGCATTAAAAAACAATGGTTTATGCAGATTTTGGGGGGCAAACAGAGTGTATTATGGGCAATTGGAAAATAGAGAATTGACAGGCAACTTGCTAGTTCCAAAAACCCTCACTTTCAAAACGAGGCCAAGTGCACAAACTTTCTTGTGAAAATGAGTTTTATTTGCATGAGAATGAAAATCATTTTCATATCAAAGGCTGAGTACTCAACCTCGTTTTGATACAGAGGCTGGGGGGGGATTCGGTAATGCCCTATTGTCAGCTGTCAATTGACCCCCTCCGCCACCCATGCACCTTCCCTCCCCCCCCCCACCCTTCCATTCATACCCTTTTCTTATGTTCTTTGTAATAAACTGAGTCTTTTCCGATGTTTCATCCTCTCTTTTGTCAACTTATTTTTTAGTCAAATAATTATGGATCTGATTCCTTATGTCTGCTTTGAACTTCTCAGAAAAAGAAGAAGAAGAAGAAGAAGAAAATCAACAAGATATATCGCGGAGCGGGGTAACCCGAGTGTTACAAACTCTTCATCCGAATACAATATTATCTCGAGTAACCACGAATATGTTAACGCTAGCAACTAAGAATATATTAGAGTGACTTCAACCGTGAAACCGATAATAGCAACTAATGCAAAATAGTTCCAAAAAAAACAAAAGAAGACAATGGAATTAGTGCATAAGTGCGTAGTATTCTTACTACCTATTTCACGAGTTTCGTAAAATTACTCTAATGCTTGATATTAACGTTCGATGCAACAAAAGATCCAACACTAATGATAAAAAAAAGAGCTAAAAAGGTTCAAGAACAAAAGAATTGCACTTTTAACTATAACGAGTAGTGCTGGTATCAAGACAGGATCTAATAACCCAGTGTCGAGTTCGCCGATGACCTCGCAGCTCTGAATAAGGGCGTTGAAGATCCATTTTTACATACTAGTTAGCCTCCACCTGACTCTTCAACTGTTTAAATATAATTCTCCTCATGATCAAGTGTAAGTCTTGTCCCTTGATTAATATGTTACCTGAAAATGCGATGTGGAGAAACATACACTCCGTCCATTTAAATGTGCTGCCAGCTGAAACACAGCCAAAGAATGCTCACGGTCCTGAAAAAAATGTAATCACGATTATTAAATGTTTAAATTAATGGTTAAATGACGAAGGGGGAAGGAAGATCCAAAGAAGTTCTAAGAACTAAGTTCCCATTAGCTCTCATTTACACCACTTTTAAAAGGCATGGAAGATTTAGTCAAACTGCGTATTTCCCGTTTCGCTACCTTCTGCATCCAGTCATGACGTTCAGTAGAGCGTTATCAGCCTAGTCCCTAGGCGTTCTCTCTTGACCCGTTGTCCGCGCGAAGTCTGGGAAAGAGCGGGCGAGAGAACGTTTGTTTAAACCTAAACACATCATACAAAAATGTACATGCCTTTTCTCAATGGAGTCTTTTATACTTGTTGCCTTGTTTCCTCTTTCGACGACAGTCCGTCCGAGATTCATTGGCACAAATTCAAGAAAGAAGTTCATCGTCTGGTACATGTTGCTGCGCGTGACAGTCCACTTCAGTTAAACAAAACTTGGTTTCGCGGATCCTTTTTTAAAAAACCGAGACTTTGTTTTACGCTGTGGTATGCACGTAGAAACTCTTCCTGTTCAAATGAAAGATTTTCAGCTACCTGCTGAAGATGTAGTTACTTGACAAAAAGGCCGCCACATTTGATCTGGCAATATTGGCTAGGCGCTCTCGGAGAGTATCTCTCGGTGACGTCACAGCTCACGGTAGGGTCCAGGATTGACCGCGCTGAGAACGCCTAGGGACTAGGCTGGAGCGTTATAGTAATAATAATAATAGCAATAACGTTATGGTTATAGTTATAGTAATAATAATAGCAATAACAAAAACAATAACAATAATAATAATAATAATAATAATTTAAATAATAATACTTTTTTGTATTGTAAAGAACTCACCTTTTCCGTCTCCAAGCTGGGTAGAATGCCCGTAGTTGCTATTAACTGATTGAGCAAGTTTTTTTGGTCCTGGGCAGACGCCATTTTTAACAACTAGGAGCTGCAAAAATGAAAATGGGCCAGCGCCTTAATTTCTTGACACGGAATGTCAAATATTATAGCTATAGGTTGGGGTAAAAGGCCTTCACTCTGCCTGGAACAAACTGTTGGATCAAACTGACAGTGAGAGTGTTTCATCTGATATCCAAACACCAAAACGTAGGGGTGTTTCAGTTGTGATATCAGAAGACGCTTTTTTCAAATGTCTTATAAAGTTTCTGAGATGATGAAATAACTGTTGAAGACTTTTGAAGCAAAAATTCGTAAAATTTGAAAGTTTGGCGCGAAAAGTGATATCATTCCTCCCCCATAAATAATCATACACTGGAAGCTCTCCTAACGGACATTCTCGTAAGCGAACTAGTCACGGTAGACTTTGCCGCAGAAAGCAAAACAAAATTTACCGCTTGAACCGCTTGTCTGATTTGACGTTCAAAATTTCGTTTTTTTTTTAGTATCAGCCATTTTAAAAAAACGAAATTAAGACTGGGCTCTATATTTCCTTTGTAGCCGTTCATTGTACGATCATGCTTATTAAATAGTAGCTATTTGAATGTCTGCCTGCTGGCCAAAATCTTTGAATTGAGTTTTGTCCTCATTTGATAGCAAGAGAGGATGGATTTTAAAGGCTTAAGCCTAAGTAGTTTATTTGTCTTCATAATCATTTTCAGGAACCTGGCGGAAGTGGATAAAATGAGCTTAATTCAACTTCCACAAAGGGAGGTAGATAAAAAACGATCGGTTATTAGCACAAGTTCCCGATACAAGTTGAAAATTTTATTTAAGACTGCGCCCGGCACCTTTTAAACAACGGAATTCAGAGGTATTGTAGATGCTTCTGGCAGAAACAAGGAAGATTACGTTGCACCTATCTACCGCGTGCCTATAAGGTTGAGGTTTTGTATTGAGCACGTGGTTCCGGGCAAAAAGAAAAAATATGAAGATACTCGCTCGTAAGCGGACACCCTTGGGACGCGAAAAAGGTGTCCGTAACTGTGGCTGGCCGCTTACGGGGTAAAAATACAGAATTTTAAAACTACGACGTTTTGTGAAGGTGGCCGTAGGTAAAACTTTCCTCTTACGAGAGTGTCTGTTAGGAGAGCTTCCACTGTATCACTACTGAATGAAAAACTGCATGAAAGACGTCGTAGATTAAGTCTAAAGACTTGAGTGTTGTCAACGTGACAGTGGCAACGCCAGTGCTATCCCTTTTGTATTTGCGATTTTATAGCAGTTGTTTCAGTCTTATATATTAAATTTACCTTCGGAATACGAGTATAATACTGCAGCGTTACAACGAGTGTGAACTACATAGTCTTTTCTTCAGCATGTAGAACAAGTATCGTACTCCTGAAATAGACCTTGTCATGGTTTTCGACGCCATCTTGACGAGTACTAAAACGGTAAGAAATTACAATGTTTGTATGAGAATCTAATGTCGAATAATTTCCGTAAAACGGCTGTTATGAAAAAAATATAAATTGTGAACTAAAGTTTCTCTCCTAATGATTCTACCGAAGAAAATTGAGGGCCTTACATGTGCTAGAAGACCTAAAACCACTTTTAGAATTTTCTATACATTTGTCTGTAAGAAAGTCCTGGGAAAAATTATAGACAAATATATGGAAAATTTAAAGCAAGTCTCTGGAGAAATTGAAGCACAGGTACGCTCCCAAAATTTGTTAGTACAATCCTTTGTTTTGTAGCATCAGTTTACAAGTCATATTTTATACGGAAATTATCGACATTAGATTCTCATACAAACACTGTAATTTCTCACACGTTTGCCTACTCGTCAAGATGGCGTCGAAAACCGTGACAAGGTCTATAGTCTTAAAAACGCCAGTCTTACTTACCACTGTTACCAAAGTGAAGCCAGTAGCTTGTAAGTGAGTGAAAGGTGTTCCAACGTATCAATTATGGTTAGTTATCTCAAAAATGAAAGGCGTTCCATGGAACCTTACGTCGAAGGCAGAAACGTGCAAAGTGAAAACACCCCGACGGACTTACCTCAGAAGTATGTTAACTTGATTCTCGTCGTATTTGCTGTAGGTCGAAGGTATACCGACCTGGAAAACAAGAGACTTTTAGCCGGAATCAACTGAGCTGAAGACGATCAATTCTGTGGAATAAGATTTTTACATTGCTAAAACCTTAAACTTAACAGCTAAATGACAAGAACATGCCAAATTGTATCGCTGGGAAAAGAAAGCGAAAGACTCGTCTCGACGATTCCTTCTTCACAGGCCCTCGAACCCTCGGGATCGATGTGAACGCAACAATTCGATAAACATGGTTAGTGTTTATAAGAAAACAGCGGAGGGTGTGTGTCAATGGGGGCACCACAAGCTCAAAAATCTGGTTTCCAGTGTTAAAGTGTTGGTATAGGGGTAAAAAGTTAAACTGAGGGATGCAAAAAAGCTGACTGACTTGAACAGGAGCTGGAGCTGTCATGCCTCGAAACGCCATCCTTTAAATCCTCAAAATCCTTTTACAGTGGTATAGTAAGTTACCAGTCAAGAGTAATTGTTCCGAAATCAAAATTTCGCGAACATTACGGTTGCGAACTTCGACAATAACCGAGAGTGTTTAGTCAACAATTCCTGCAAGGACCACTTGGACAAAGAGCGGCGAGGGAAAGCCGGATCTTGTCGTAGATCAGGATCAGCAATATAAAATAACACTTGAAATTAAAGGAGCTTTTCCAGCCCCTGATGGAGACTAGTTTTGTCTAGTCGAAATATTGGGCAAATTTAAATTTGTAAACCTTAGCTCTCCGATCAGCCTTGCCTTCAATTTTAACTGTGTTTAGTCACCACGTTGCAGTGCGTTACAAATAAGCCACGTAATCTACACGAGTCTTTCTGGTTGATACATATACATACATTAGAATTAGTGAATTCAGGTCAAGAAACACTTTGAATGCCACAACTTATTTGGGAGAAATATTTTTCTTCTCTTTTTTGGATCTTGAAGGAACGTTTGATTTTGACTGCTCTTGCTAGCGTTGAATATCGTAGCCCTTTGATTGATGTCTTCTGAAAACTGTAACGACCATCTGCGTTTTACGAATAAACAGCTTTTCTGATTTTTAGGCCGAAGGGAAATCAAAAAGTTAAATTGACTCACCCAGATGCTGGTGCCAACGAGCTGGACTGATGGTTTACCGAAATGTTGATTTTCTTTTAAAACACGCGTTGATTGTAGTGAGTCGTTTGCGCCCGCAACATCATTGGAAGCTGCCACCTGTTCCATACAGCCTTTGGCATCTTGCCACAGTATGCAAGTGCATAGCCAGCAAACGTGGACTTGGTTTGGTGACTTTCGGCCTTGTTTTGTGTGGTAACCGTTCGCCATCTTTATATCGAGCAGACTANGTTTCACCATTCTCCACAATTCTGAAAATGTCTCTTTTAACATGAAAACTTAGTTAGCATGTTTACCGCTATTCAGTCGACAGTCAAGTACTTTACACCAAAGGTTTTTAAAATGCTATCGGTGAACATTGTTGACACGGTTAGTGAATTTCAATTTTTGAAAAAATCCCCGTCTATATGCTGTCCAAATGACATCATCAACTAATCCAGAAGAATGCAAGGTCAGTTTGATTCCCGCTATCGTTTCGCTTGTGTAAAATTACCCCAGTCAAATTGCTAAGTTAATTGTGAAGAGAAATTTCCAATTTGTTTTGTAACCAGGGAGCTAAAGTTTATGCGTAGATTGAAAATTTCTATTTTGTTAATATTGACCCTGAGAGGAACGAGTCCTAGCAAGTTTATGTGCTTGATTAACCGCGTGTCAATCCAAATAATAATAATAATAATGATAAAAAATACATAGCCGCTTTCTCTTTTGTCAATCACGACTAACGGTGTACACTTAATGGCTGCGAAGTTTTGAATAAATGCATTCCCAAGAAAAGGCAAAAGAGTTCAAAAGAATGCCCAAACGAGAATTGGTGGTGAAATTTGCTCATCTGACGTAATCATGCATAAGGGCCATTTGACATTGCGTCAGTGTCCAGAAAAAAATATCCAAAACAAATAGATTTCATTCTTAGTCTTTGTTTGTCCTCTACTACACATTGACTACAAAGGTATTTCTGTTTAGGGCGACTGGATTCAATGGCCCCTTTATTTTACGGCCGGAAATAGAAATCACGAAGTTCTATCTACGTTCTCGAGCTCCCATTTTCGAGTTATATGCCATTTCCGGTCACGAGTTGCCCTCGGCGAAGCCTCTCTCTCAAAGCGAGAACAAAAGCGGAAGTCTTTGATTTAAGAGTCATGTCTCATTTACATGCCAATTAAACCATTCATTTTAATACATTAAAATTCTGCATTAATTTAGCCTCATTTTTGGAACTCTGAACGTGAAAGAAAGTACACTAAAAAAAATTCCAAAAATGTGACATCTGTACAAATGTGCTGTGTACAAATGTGCTGTAAATCCAGACGTAGTAAATCGATAGAAATTCATATCGGAAATCAATCAATATCAATCGATTTAATCCGCCGATTGATATCGGAAATCGATAGAAATCGAAGTCAGAAACAAAATAATTTATCGGTTATGATCGATTTTTGTTATAGTAAACGATAACAAGCGAAGCAGTAATCCTGAGGTGAATATTCTGAAAATGACGATATTTGACTTCAGCAACTACACGCGCAGTCCTCAACTAGTTCAAATTTTGGTTCCTTTCGTCTCAGCTAGCCTGCGTGGCAGGCGTTTGAAAGGGAAGGGAAAGTGGGTTTTGGGCGCGAGGGAAACGCGAGGGGCGCGCGAGGAGGGACTATTTGTCTCCTGGTTTGTTTGTTTTTCTTTACATGTCCATTCAATCCTGCAATCTCGCTGACACTGAAATCCAACTCAATAGCTTATTTTACAGTTACAGTTGGAAACGAGACTGGATTTGATACAACCCTTCTTGCTTAACTATGCAAGTCATTGTTGTTATGCTAACTAGTATTTTTTAAGCAAAATTTTCATTCATTTGAAAAAAGAAAAAGGTTTGTATAAAAAGAAGATCAACCTCAGCGTCACGTTCACTCAAAGGCTAGAACACCAAGCCCACAACTGTAAAATGGCCTATTCGGTATATACACGAGCATTGAAGTCCTCCACATCGCTGACTTTTGTTGGCATAAGAGGTCGTACTTGTTATGCTCCATGTTTATGATAGTTTAGACTGTTAATCGCAGTGTATACACGTCTATCTTGTACAAAACAGGGAAAATTTGAACATTATTGTAAATATAACAGGGAACAAAAGCAAGAGCACAAAATATCAAACATTTTGCAATTTTGAGGTACTTTTTACTAACTTATCCGTTGTCCGTGTGAGAGAGATGCCCGTCGTTCCAGTAAAATGACTGAAAAACGGCAGGGACCAACACCAAGTGTCCGTCTCATAGAGGTGTAACTAGGATCAGGCCCGAGGCAATACCAGAAAAAGAAATAAACTGAAAATTTACTTAAATTAAAGCTTCTTTCATTTATAGATTTAATGCCACATAGCCAAATGTGTGTGTGCATGTGTGTTGTTGTGGTTTTCTTTTTTCTGACACTTTACTTATAAGGAGAACAGTTGTCCTGGGCGGAAGGGTCACCTGTCTACCCGAGCTACCCTGGGCGAGCCAACTTTTCATACATTCTCTTACAAAACGTGGCGAAACGGTTACATGAGAATCAAAAAGTTGGCTTGGCTAGGGTGACCCCGCACCTAGCTGGGTCACCCTTTTGTGATGGAAGCAGGGTCACCCTCCTACCAGGGCCAACTTTTCTACACTTTTCTTTTTCTTCTTCTTTTCTTACTTGAGTTTTGTCTGTCTGTTTGTC